TACAATACAAATCAGCACCTAAAAGCACAAGCAGAATAAAATCAATATAACTTGAAACACAAAAAGCATAAAAATCAATATAAAACCAGCAAGGGGTATAGTAACTAATGCAATATTGTTAAAAGTTCACAAAATCTATGCCTTTTGTATGTTTAAAGGCCTGAGTTAATAAAAAAATATCTTTTGGTACCTAAATGTCTGTAACATAGGTGCCTGGTGAGTCTCTCTGGTAAGGGCACTCTATACATGGGGCACCACCACGGAAAAGGTCCTCTCCTTAGGGACCACCTGCCATACTTTATCGGGTGGAGAACCTGCAGGGAGGCTTCCAAAGAAGACCTCAAGAAATGGGACACTACTTGTGGAAGAAGCGGATCCTTCAGGAAGCCTGGTCCCAAGCTGTTTACTTGGTATTATGATCGCACGGTGGCAACATCAAGAGCACCGTAACAGCTAGGGAGCGGCATGACGGATCTGAAGACCTTTCTGCTAGCTCCGGCTGACAGAAGATAATTGCATGGTGACTGATAGTAGCCAGACTGATTAGTTTGTTTAGATTAGGTTTTTTTTATTGTAATGTATTATGAAAAGTCTCAATAAAACTTTCCAAACGAGAAACAGAGAAGAGAAGAGAAGAGAAGAGAAGAGAAGAAAAGAAACCATAACAGAGGAAGGGATTGGGAAGACACAACAGAAATTTAAATGACAGCCAACCCATAGAGACTCTTATAACTGCTCCACCAATCATAATGGAGCTCTTGATGGCATCCACACTTGAACACACAGTGATGCTCTCACATTAGTCATGCATAGAAGGCATCATACACAGCGAGATGAAACCACTCTACACATATAGCACAAGTGTTCTAGTGCTTTGTCCAGCACTGGCTTCCATAGGCCATTATTTAGGAATGTGGGAAGAAATTTACAGCCAGAATGGGTTGGGTTCCCTCCAACAGGAGTTCAGATCCCTTGATAATTAAAGATCAACAAAACCAAACCAGAAGTAGACTTTTGCTGTAGGACCTTGCAAAGCTGATTGATTGCCATTTAAATAATGAAAGATTGCCATTTAAATAATAGGCAGCGCTCATGGTCATATCAAACAGCACTGAAGAGTGTGTGTACAGGATTGGCTTGAATTAAAGCAGCAAATGCCCTGCCCCCTCCCTCCTGCTGCCTAATGTCAAGGTGCATAGTGCTCTGTTGCTGGTCAAGTTATGGCTGGCACCACTCGAGGCAGAAACAATTATTCCATGTATTATTATCGCAATAATATTTTTATGGAATGTTGTGCAATGCCTCTGGAGGGCAATTGTGCTCTGAAAGGTAGGTGCTAAATCATTTAATAAAATAAAATCTAAAATCCTACAAGTGCCTCTCCCCTCCCTGGCAGGAAAAGTACAATAAGAATAAATTAAACAATATAGCAATTTGCTGCCCTTTCAGGACTCCCAGGATAAGCTGACTGTGTGGCTGCCTCACCTTGTCTAATGGTAGGGCTGGCCCTAGCTGTAGATAAAGCCATAGCTCAGTGGCACTGCCCAGGCTTGGCACAGAAAGAAGCTATGGTTTCCAAGGAGAATAGAGCCAAACACACACCTGAGGCAGGGCAATCAGAGTAACTAGTACATGGACCAAGGGCTTCATTCAGGAAATTGCCTGATGTGTTTATGCCCCAGGAGATTTTGGATTTTTCACAGCCCCCTTCGTCTCATGCAAGCCCCCTTTCCCCTGTGCTGATGTGATTGATTGCCAGTGTCTGGTGGTTATTTTGCCAGCAAACCTTTTCATCAATCTTCCACCCTCTGCATCACAGCAGCGACACTGCTTGGTTATCACACTAGCAATAACTGGGATGGCTGTTAGAACTTCCCTCCTGATGGTCCTGCATGGTGGGTGTTGGATACGCCAAACACGGAACCATGTTGGGGTTTATGCGGGGGGAATTCACCCCAGCCTTCCATTGTGTGCACCACCATGAAGACACCTGAGCTGAGTAATATGTGAGTGGGTGGCAGGAAAGATCCTTACCCACTCATCTTCGTAAGACCAGAGGCAGAGTTGAAAGAGTCATAGTTTTTATTGAACAATATCAGTTTGGGGAGAGTTATGACAAGTGCTGCACAGAAACCTATTCTCCAATTTCTTGAAAGTGTTCTTCGCCTATGTGTATACCTCTTTCTCAGAGCGTTTTAGAATTTCTTTATAATTTCAGTTCGTGCAAGGCTGAATTGGAAGGGTGGCATGTGTGGTTTGTCTTTCCAGTAAATGTTTTTCCAGTGCTCTGCACTGCAGCCCCCTGCCCAGCCATGTACACTTCTGATCTGGAAAAAAAAAACCTAGAGAGCAGTTACTTTGTGAGGTTGTCACCTACATTTTATTTGAAGCACAGAAAACTGGGGAAGCTAATACTGAGCACTTGAGATTGGGGTGGCCAGCCCCTGTTTTTATTTTAAGGGAAGTACTTCCATTTACCTTAAGATATTTTGTCTGTGCAAGTTTCTTTAATAATAAAAAGTTTTCTTAGTATTAGTTTTTTTGTCCCCCCTTTTAAAAGCCTCCCCACCTTCCTGTGCATTTAGAAAAGCCTACCTGAGGATGTCATTGGATTTTCAAGAAAAGCCAGCACCCAAGAAGGCTGCAGAGTGGAAACCACTGACAAAATGATTTGCAGAATGAAAGAAAGGACACTCCCAAACACCCTTTTGTACACTATGAATGTGCAGATGCACAACATAAAGCCTGCAGCTTACCAGTGAGATTCTTACCATAATTTTCTCCCCCCTTTCATAAATTTTGAAGGAAGGTTCTTTTCTCATAAATTAGTAGGAATTTTTTTGGGGTTTTTTTTTTTTTAATAATAATACACAAAAGAGGGATGCAATGTAGTGTGGTGGTTAAGAGTATTGAGCTAGGACCTGAGGGACCAGGATTCAAATCCCCACTCAGCCATAAAGTTCAGTGGGTGACCATGGGTGAGTCACTGCTTCTCAACCTATCCTACCTCACATAGTTGTTGTAGGGCTTAACTGAGGAGGGGGAGAACCGTGTGCACTGCTACCTTGACAGTAGGGTGGGATATAAATGATACTACTGCTGCTGCTGCTGCTGCTAATTTTTAAAACAGGAGAAATTTCTGGCCCAGCACTTGTTATGACAGTATCACAGGGAATCAGATGTTGCTACATCTGTATTTATGCCTGGTTCTTCTGAACTCCTTAGCAATCAATACATTAAGAGCACCTTCATCTCTGTGCCCTCTGGTGGGTAGAGCTGCCATCATTTCATTATTGTCTGCCACAGAGCTTTCACATCCATAGGTGCCTTGCACAAGCATGACAATGCTATGTGACAATAGGGAAGGGCCAAAGCTCAGTGGTAGATTATATGCTTTCCATGCAGAAAGTCCCATGTTTAATCCTTGGCATTCCAGGTAGGGCTGGGAATGACCCCTGTCTGAAGTCCTGGACAGCTGCTTCTGGTCATCTTGAACAATACCAAGCTGGATGGACCCATGACTGTACACTCAAGGAAAGAGAGGAGTAATATTGGTGGCAGCTCGAGATATGGACAGAAGCATAAGAAGGAATAAGAAGCAGAGAGACAACCAAACTGAAAAGTATTCCCCAAATTTATTCCTTCTATTTTTAATAGAAATTTCTTCTCCCATCAAATGATTCCAAGGAGAGCTTTCATTATAAAGAACAGAAGTGCAGTAAAGATCAGAAGTAAATTATATTAAAAAACAAAGCGAAACACAATTCTAAAGGCAGCTCTGTATCAGTGGAAAATCAACAGAGTGAAAGTTGATTGTGTTAAAAGGCCTAGAAAAATTAAAAGGCCATTGCCTTGCACTGCAATGGTATCAAGGCAGGCACCATTTCAGATGCCACAACAGAAAAGGCTTTCCCCCGGGCACCTTAGATGCTGGGGTAACCTCTGCTGAAGGACCTCTGCTCAAAGTACGAAGACAAGTGCATAATAGAACTGGCACTTAGTCCCTTAAAGTCAAAAGCAACACTTTGAATTGAGCATGGAAGCAGAGCTGGAGCCAATGCAAATCTCCCTGGTGCTGTCCCATGGAAGTGGTCTGATAGAGAGTAGGGACAGCTCAGCTGCCCTTGAAGTTCAACCAATCTGTATATGACACAGGCAATGACAAGCTGGAAGCAACCAACATCAGTCTGAGATCATCAGTCCTCGGGAACAGAAAGAGGAATTGGAACCAGCTACTCATCTGTTAAGTCATTAATTAAACTCAGGAAAGATACAGCAATGCTTCACGCCCCATGAGTAATTAGGAATTTCATCGAAAGCACTTGCAGCATGCTCAGCTTGTCAAGCGATAAACACAGGGTGGGAAGAAATGGGGGAGGGAAGAGGCTCCCACTCTGCCCAGTGACAGACAGCTAATCCACACAGGCTGACTACCCAGCAAGCTTTAACAGCAAGGAGGACTGTTTGTCCTCCTTTCACAATTGGAAACTAGTACTGATCATACATCCAACCATTAACAATATGTGGCTAGAGTCCTGAGATGTTGTTGAACTACAACTATTGGCCATCCTGGCTATGATTGGATTTGGAATCCAACAACATCTGGAGGGTCACAGGTTCCCCATCTCTACAGCAAGGGGTCAGAAAGTGTCATATGCCTTTCCTGTCTCCTGGCTACTTAAAGAGCTAGTGCCTTAGTTTATAGAATTGTAGAGTTGGAAGGGACCCTGAGGATCATCTAGTCTAGAGCTTTCCAAACTTTTCATGTTGGTGACACACTTTTTAGACAAGCATCATTTCGCAGTGCCGTAATTCAGTTTTTGCATCATTTTGCAAAACAGTAATTCAGTTTCACTAGCACACCAGAGGTTAAACTAACTCCTTTCCAGCCCCAGGAGGAGCATGGGGAGCGTGACACACCTATACACAACACACTAACATGTTGCGACACACAGTTTGGAAAGCTCTGATCTAGACCAACCCCCTGCAATGCAGGAATATGCACCTGTCACATACGGGGATCGAACCTGCAACCTTGGCATTATCAGCACCGTGCTCTAAACAACTGAGCTATCCAGGCTGCCTTCTTCTGCAGCTGTGGACTTCTTTGGAGTGATGAAGTTTCCAGCTATGGGGCATCTCTCCTTCGGGCTCTCTTGAGTCTGTACACAGCCACCGGAATCTAGAAGCAGAAGGGTCTCCTTAAGGCTCAGAAGAGGGGCAGCAGGCTCCAAGGCCTGCAGACTCACAAGGATAGGATTGTTGAATTAGTCGCACACCTTTTTGTGAAGCTCAATGAACACATGTTTCTACTTTAAATGCAGATGCCAGCAGATTATATTGGCTACCAGATGGTAATTCGGAAGGCCAGCTGACTTAGGGCAGCCTTGGGAAGACCTTAATTGCTGCTCTGTATCCCTCTCTGAAGGTAATTTCCTACACAGAAACAAACACCGCCAAATCCCTTAATTGGCAGCCCACAACAATAGGCTTGCAGGCAAAGGCAAGGAACCATCACAACAAGCTAATATTTGTGAGGCGGTGTTCAGGATTCACTGAGGTTCAAATAGCATGTTAAGGAAATGTTGGGAGCCAATAGTGTGTCAGATTATGACCAGTGATTCCCAGGTTTACATTTCCACTTAACCCAAAAGCTCACTGGTTGTCCTGGGACCAGTTATCACAATTTCTCGAGCTAGCCTACCTTAGAATTTTGTTGTGAAGATAAAATGTGTGAAGAAAGAACTATGTATACAAATCCACTTTAAACAGTAAATAAAAAAACAAGGGCTTTTGCAGTTAGGAATTTGATGGAGAAATGTCATTGAAAATGTGAAATGAACAAATGATTACAGTACTGGGAAAATATATAAACACCCCACAGCTAAATCAGGATGAGAACTGAATAAACATTACTTGCAGGAGCCCCTGGGCATTGGCCATATCCTCAAATCCTGTCAGCTGTCACTTGGAGCTGGTTGGTGGTAGTGAATATTCTTGGTTGGAAATCTCTAGTCCCCTCCCAATTCTGCAAAGAGGGAATGACTACCATGCCATTTTAACTCTGTGGTACAGATAACTCTTCAACGCAATTTGTAAAGTTTTATTCATTGCCAACAAAAAAATAAAAATCTCAGGGCATCCTTCTGAGAACAAGTATTGCCTTCAAAATGATTCCTACTACAAGGGACCTCTGGCCCCATGAAGCTATTTTCTCATGACTAACCATTTGGGCAAGTTATTAGAAAAAGCAGAAGAGTTCATTATTATTTTTATCTACTTCATAACTTATTTATAACTGTCCTTGAAAACCATCAGATAAACTCCTCCGAATGTAAAAGAATTCACCTCAAGCAATGGATAAACATCTCTTCAACTAGAGCAGCTGGCAAACAGGTTGACTCTCTGTAGGGACGTGTAGCAACTGAAACAAACTCGGGGGCCTTGTCAGCTCAATTAGCCATAACAGTACAGTTCTGGAGATATTACTCGCATGGTATTTTTCTTTTCTTTCATATTGCCAATAGTAACAAGGCTGCTGTGGCAGAATTGTCTTTATGAAAGCTTTCTTTAATTTCCTTTCCCATAACCCATAAGCCAGGCTTCCTCAACTTTGGCCCTCCAGATGTTTTTGGCCTACAACTTCCATGATCCCTAGCTAGCAGGACTAGCAGGGATGATGGGAACTGTAGTCTCACAACATCTGGAGGGCCGAGGTTGAGGAAGCCTGCCATATATATATATATGAATAAGGCAGGCACCCCCAAACTCGGCCCTCGAGATGTCTTGGGACTACAACTCACATCATCCCTAGCTAACAGGACCAGTGGTAAGGGATGATGGGAATTGTAGTTCCAAAACATCTGGATGGCCAAGTTTGGGGGTGCTTGGAATAAGTTAACGTCAGTGGGTGACAGAGCCACTGCTTTCCAAAATGCCTAAAATAAACTGACATCTTGCCCCTAAGAGCTGCTGAAAATACTATTATTATAGCCTCCTACCTGGCACAGGTAGCTTCTCGAAGCTACAAACATGAGTCTGACCAAATTGCGGAAGGCAGTGGAAGACAGGAGTGCCTGGCGTGCTCTGGTCCATGGGGTCACGAAGAGTCGGACACGACTAAACGACTAAACAACAACAACAACCTGGCACAAGGGCTGACTTTGGGGGTGGGCAGACACATGTATTGAACCCTGAGCCAGCAAGGAGCCCCAGCTTTCATCCTCTTTTTAACAGAGTTCAGGAGTGGAGCCTCCCAGAGGAGGAAACAGAGATGTTCCTTTTTGCAGCTAGCCTGATGCCGAATGGAGGAAGATACTGAGGTAAGTTCGTTTAAGCACTTTTCTCATGTCCACATAATTTCACTCACTCCTCAAATGTGCTGTCTTTGTGTAATAATTCATTTTTGGGCTGGCTTTGATATGTTTTACTTGGAAGATCCCTTGAAATAAATGCTTTCTTTCTACTGAGAAAGAATTGTGATATTGCAGTTTCTCTTCTCCCCTCCTTCCCTCCCTCCCCCAATTTTCTGTGATCCCTATATAGCCGCTACTGGTCTCCTTGTCATCACTGGGCTGTTATTTATTAATATACAGTAACCATAACGACATGTATGTTATTTTCACTAATATATTCATTTTAACACACACTTTCCCCTAATATATGCATTTTGTAAACTGGTTGGAGAACTTCATTACAAAATTCAGATAAGTGAGAATTTCAAAGGTTTGCTGTGTTTTGGTTCCTATATTGTTGTAGAAAGTGTGCATTTGATGGATTTGACTTTAAATAATCTGAATCAATTTTCTCCTCCACTCTTACCCATTAGCAAGGTTTGTCCTTGGCTGCAGCTGATGGTTTGTGTGGAGAGAGCTTAACCATGAGTTCTGGTTCAGTGTGCCATCTCTTCTATTACTGTGTCATTTTCAGGCCTTTTCTGTTAGATTTTGGTATCCATTTTGTATCTAGTGCCTAACAAGCACTTTATATCAATCAGTCACTGCTACAAAATATGATAACAATTTCTGGGCTTGCTGCAAAGCCACAGCATGAACAATGACAAATCAGAAATATAACAGGAGTGCCACAGGAGTAATTTATGTGATACAGAGGACACCTGCCCATGCACTTTAAACCCTGAGTGCTAGGAGCCCTTAAATGGGAGTTCTATTGTGCAGGGGGAACATTAAAGATGGAATGTTGGCTCAGAGAAAGAAAACTATAAGATTCAGCATAATAAACTACTCTCAATTGCAATGCAACTCATGTCACACTTTACAAGAATTGAAAGGCTTTGGAACTCCCACATTAACAAATCAAATAATCAGTAACTCCTTACTGTATTGCCAACATTGAGGTCACAGTTAACTACAAAGGAGGTAAGGGACAAGAAATCTACATCATATAGTGAATATTTGGAATAAACCTGGCAGGGAAGGGATGCATTAATTAGCGAATAATACTATAGCATATTTATGGATATTGCCGAAAGTTAAGTTGCAACCAAGAATGAAATGCTATACCGCAAAAACCTTCTGACTGGGTTTTTAAATGGAGGTCGCAACATTTATTTTGCTTTGAATAGGTAGGTTTATGGTTTATTGTAAATAAAATAAACATGAACCAAATTACCTGCTTCTTTCAGTGCATCTCAGCTGCCATCAAACACAGAAAGTTCTGTCTCCGAAGCTGTTGCAAATTCATTTATACTGTGTGCTTCACTTATGTAGTGATTTATTCCATATTATTTTATTAGTATCTTAACTCTGCTTGCTGCTGTCTTTCACAGTTTGGGCCTCCATCATCTGGGTTATGAATGCATGTTTTAAATTTAAATTGAGCCTAGGGATGGGAGGTGGAATCTGCCAAACCTAGATTCCAAAGCGGACAAACCTGGTTTGATCCAGGTGGATCATAACCTGTATCTGGTTATGGGTCCACTTCAGGATTCACAGTCTTCCAGATCCCTTTACAAGGCAGCCTAAGGGCCGCAATGCTGCCTCTGTTCATGCAGAGATACTTGTTAGAAAAGCAGAAAGTCCTTCTATGGCTGATCATTAAAGCTTTGTTTCAAAAATTTAGTTGCTGGCACCGATCTGAAATGAAGCTGAATAATGCACCTGGAAGTGCGGAGGAAATATATACAGGTGTTTCAGTTATGTAGCAGTCAAAAATAGAGGAGGAAAGGGGCACCATGCTCTGTTTTTCTCCAGTTATTGCAAATAACTTTAGCTTCTCTGTGCCAGGAATTGCTGACCGTGGCATCATATGGTGAATCACGTAACTGCAGCCTCATAGGGAAAAATCTTTCAAGTCCAGACTAGTTTTAACTACCCAGGCTGAGCATTGGCTCTTCATGTGTAGGAAGAAGTATAAGAGGGCTCCTGTCTCAGTGGTGCTTTGCTTGAGCAACAAGGTCAACCTGAGCTCTGGTTTGCTCTCGGATCCTACCTCCTGCTTTGCCATCTGACCATGATTTCTCTCTGGCCCTGATCCCCAGTTCCTGCCTTCTTACTGCTACCCAAAGCCAGCACCGGATTTAGGGAGGTGTGGGCAGTCCCCACTCTCACAGGGTGCCAAGCCAAGGAGGGGCAAAATTGAGAAGATCCATGATTGCGAAGACCCATTTTGAGGCAACAAAATTTGCCCTTGCTCAGGGTGCCATATTATTAAGCTATACATTGGTTGATGGAATCACTGGGCTAAGATAACCAAAGTCTGCCCCTGCCAAAGCCGAGACCTGGTGCTCTCAGCTGTAGCTCTGTCTCCATCCTCTGCATCATTATGAGGCATGGTTAGAAGTGTAGATTGCCTCCTTCTGAACTACAGGGCATTTCACCCTGGGGAGACCAATTCTGTGCAGCTTACTGTAGTAGGCTCTGCTAAACATTAAGCCTTGTGTCTAACACCCTTCAGGAGTGCAGCATTTAACCAGTGTTTGATGACCTCTGGAGGGAGAAATGGCTAGAGACTTTTTGAGTTTTATTTATGAATATTAAAGCTGAGCTGAACATTTTACAAACAGCAAATTGCACCGCCACATAGCATATAACCAGAAAGAGGCACTCCTGCATCCCCAAATAC